AAAAAAAACCTGGAAGTAGAGCTGTGGCTCAAGTGGTAGAGCGTAGCCTTGAGCTGAAGAGCTGAGGGACAATGCCCAGGCCCTGAGTTTAGGCGCCACAACTGGACCCCCCCAAAAAAAATTACTCAAAGCCGGGCGCCGGTGGCTCATGCCTGTAATACTAGCTACTTAGGAGGCTGAGAACTGAGGATCTCGGTTCGAAGCCAGCCTGTGCAGGAAAGTCCGTGAGACTCTTATCTCCAATAAACTACTAGAAAACCTGAAGTGGCGCTGTGGCTCAAGGGGTAGAGTGCTTGCCTTGAGCTGAAGAGCACAGGGACAGCGCCCAAGCCCAGAGTTTAAGCCCCATCACTGACCAAAAAATTACTCAAAATACAGCATCAGGAAACATCTCTTTTTTTTGGTGCTGCAGTTTGAACTCAATACCTTGAAATTGCATAGAGTGTGCTCTGTCATTAAGATACATCCCTAAGCCTGGCACGGGTGCCTTACACCTGTAATCCTAGCTACTCAAGATGTTGAGATCTGTGGATTGCAGTTCAGAGCCAGCCAGGGTATGGAAGTCTGTGAAATTCTTATTTCCAGATTAGCCACTGAAAATTGGAAGTGGAGCTGTATGGTTCAAATTGGTAGAGGCTAGTCTTGAGCAAGGGCTCAGGGACAGTGCCCAGGCTCTAGCCAAGATTTTTCTTCTATAGGAAATTCTAGTTAAATAAATGTTATTATTCCTTGAAGCCAGATCTGAGTCCATTCAGGTGTACATTTCATTGTGGAGGCTTAAGTTAGGAGAATCTTCAGATGAAAGCCCTATCCCAGAAAAACCACAAAGACAAAACAAACTCTCCTGAATACTCTGTGAAAATAGCATCTCAATGTAATGTGTAGTATCACTGAAAATAGGACAAAGAGAATTTAGAAAGCTAATGTCAGCAGAGTTGAACCCATGTAGTTATATAAATCCTAAAGTAAATAATTTATTTTGTTCTGCTTTATTTTCTTTTTTTAATTGTGATTAAGTGATTACATAATTTCCCAAATTTCACAGTATTGTGGGATAGTGATGCTCAGTTACAAGTCACATACACATTCTAACTTAACTGGAGCAAATTGTCTATCATGGTCTATAACATTTATGAGTTCTATGAGCTTTGTGATACAGTTGTTTCTTCCACAGTGGGTGATATGTACATTTCTTTTGTTTTGCATAGCATCAGCTGTTCCCTCTTTCCCATTTGTTCCCTCCCTCCCATCGCTGCCATTAAGTTGCTTAGTTCATTTTGGTCAATGTCCTGTTGGTCTGCTTTATTTTCAAGAAAGAGAGCTGGGTGCTGGCGCCTCACTTCTGTTATCTTTTTCAGGAGGTGGAGATCTTAGGATCACAGTTCAAAGCCGCTTAGGCAGAAAAGTCTATGTGACCTTCATTTCTTATTAACCAGTAAAAATCAAAAGTGGAGGTGTGGCTTAATTGGTAAAATGCCAGCTTTTTAGCGAACAAGCCAAAAGCCAACCCAAAAGTCAAGTGATGTTGGGAGACCCTGATTTCAAACTCCCAATACTAGAACACCCTTTCCCCTCCCCTCCGAAAAAAAGAAGAAATGGTCTTGCTGGCAAAGCAGTCTTAGATGGCTTTGAATTTGCCTCTGTGGTTATAGGCATGAGCTACCACCTCTGCTAATCATTTGCATTTCTAATACATTGTAAAAGACCTAGTCTGGTGGCCCCAGTGGCTCAAGCCTATAGTCCTTGCTTCTTGGGAAGCTGAGATGTGCGAATGGAGGTTTGAGGCCAGCCTGAACTTATCTCCGGTTCATTAGCAGAAAGCCTGTAGTAGAGGTATAACTCAGGTGGTTGAGTGCCAGCCATAGGTGAAAAAACTGCATGAGTAAGAAGCCCTGAGTTCAGGGCCAGTACCTGTACAACAAGCTAAACCCCCAAATCTTGTGCTGTCAGAGATAAGAAAAAAGAGTAACTTAGTTAAAAAAGTGCTTATTACTGATTATTGTTGCATTGTTAATAATCTTTTTGCAGGAGAACGCCCATATAAATGTGAACTTTGTCCATATTCAAGTTCTCAGAAGACTCATCTAACCAGACACATGCGCACTCACTCAGGTTGGTAAGAAATTGGGAGTGTATTTTTTTTTTTTTTTTGGTCAGTTGTGGGGCTTGAACTCTGGGCCTGGCTAGAGCTCTACCACTTGAGCCACAATGCCACTTCCGGTTTTCTGAGTTGTTTATTGGAGATGAGAGTTTCATGTACTTTCCTGCCCGGGCTGGCTTTGAACGGTGGCGATCCTCAGATCTCAGCTTCCTGAGTAGCTAGGATTACAGGTGTGAGCCACCTGCCCCTAGCAGGACTGTATTTTATTTTTATTTTTTGGTCAGGTCCTGGGGCTTGAACTCTGGGCCTGGGCGCTGTGCCTCAGCTCTTCAGCTCAAGGCTAGCGCTCTACCACTTGAGCCACAGTGCCACTTCCAGCTTCTTTCTGCTTATGTGGTGCTGAGGAATCGAACCCAAGGCCTCATGCATGTGAGGCAAGCACTCTACCACTGAGCCAACTTCCCAGCCCCAGGACTGTATTTTTTGTTGTTATAAACTGCCATTATGAAGTAATTGCCTCCTGTCTTAATTCCCCTCCCCCCTTGTTTTGGTTGTGCTAGGGATTGTCTTTGTGCCTCTTGTACATCCTATATATCCTGTACATCCAGTCCACCACTGAGCTGTAGCTGTAGCATAGGAAGTTCTTTGTCTGGAACTGAGCCATTCATTTATGGCTTACTTTCAATATAATTTTGAAACTGATCGAAAGTTCTAGGAATATATTAATACAGAGCTATATTTAAAAGCAAGTTGTTATACCAGGTATGGCATTCCATGACTCATCTCAGCACTTTAGGGTGTTGTGGCTAGGAGGACAGGAGCTTGAGATCAGCGTGGCAGTATACAAAAAGTCTCAGGCCAGTCTGGGCCATATAACAAAAACCTATTTTATCCCTCATCTCTCTGCAGTCCTTCCTCCTTAGCCTGTTACAGGAATGAACTTCCTAGTTGTCTACCTTGGTTTCCTTGACTACATACTTAATATGTTAATGAAAGGCATTTCTTCTGAATTTCCTGAGCTTATATACTTGAACTAACCCTCTCCTTCCTCTCTTCCTTTCCTGTCCTGTCCTGACCTGTCCTTTCCTAGGCTTGAACTTAGGGCCTGGACATTGTCCCTGAGCTTCCTTTCCTTAAGGCTAGCATTGTACCACTTGAGCCACAGCACCAACTTCTGACTTTTTCTGTTTATGATACTGAGGAATCTAACCTAGGGCTTCGTGCATGCTAGGCAAGCACTCTTTTTTTTTTTTTTGGTCCAGTCGTGGGCCTGAACTCTGGGCCTGGGTGCTGTCCCTCAGCTCTTCAGCTCAAGGCTAGCGCTCTACCGCTTAGCCACAGCGCCACTTGCGGCTTTTTTACATATGT